ATAGAAAAATAATTCCTTCGATATTTTTTTATCCTTCAAAAATATTTCCCATATATATATATATATATATATGAAATTTCGTATTGGACAGAAAACGATCTTTAAAAATGAATTTCGTAATTTAATGAATTTCAAGATGACATGTATACTGTATTCACGCCAGGAGGCAAGGACATTGTGGGTGTCGTGAGGAAGCCGCAAATAATCGCCGTTTTCGATAGTCTCGGGAACGGTGTTATCCTCGACGAAAATGGCACCACTAGGTTTGTGTTTCGAGAAGAATGTGTAAAAAATAAAACACGAAAGAAAGAAAAAGAAACAAAGATGGAAAAACAGAAAAGATGGAAAATAAAAGTGATAAAAAAATTAAAAAATTAAAAAATAAAAAGATAAAACAAAAAAAAAGAACGAAGAAAAAATGAAAAGAAGAAGAAAGACGAGCAAATTTTTTAATTTTGAACCAATGACTTTTTTTAATTACATTCTATATCCCTCTTTCTTGATTATTTCCTCAGACTTTCTTATAATCAGATCGGGGGTATTTGGAGGGATAATCCTGGAGGATTGCCCTTTCTATGGACTTGGAGTAGCAATGTCGAGGAACCGATCATTGAAAACGTATATTCGGTTAGTATATACTTACATATATAATATATTATATCGATTGAAATATCTTACGTAATAAATGTCGATAATAATTGAACGTAATATTGAATCCGATAATAGAGAATATCATACTTATCGAATAAACTATAATAAATGTCTTGATCTATCGTACAATTTTTTTTATAAATAAAAAAAAATTCCAAATTCAAAAGAAAGGATTAGAAGGAGAAAAGACTAAAAATTATAATTTGGATCGAATAAAAAGAATGATTGTAAAAAATTGTACAATACTCGTAAGATTTTTTGTCTTGGAATTGTCAAATATATGTATAACGTTTTGTTTGTTTTTTTTTTTCCTCTCTATTCATTATTATTGTGAATAAGAAGAAAAATTTATGATGATCATCAATCGAATGTTAAAAATTACGTGAAAATATTCGTAGATAAGATCGACGAGTGACTTGGAAGAATTATTTCCGTCGTTAAAAAAAAATCTTAAAAGGTACGTAATATTATTCTTAAAATCTCTAACGAGTATTCATTTAATATATTTTCTATATTATTCGTGGGTTGAAATTTTTTCGATTGATACACATTAGTAACGAAATCACGAAAACTTCGTTGCCCTCTACGATGACCCCGAGAAACAGAGAAAAAGCGGAAGTCACAAGTGACGAGCAGAAACCCGTTGTTGTTGTTAATGCTCTTGTCGAGGAACGCGAGAAGTATCTCGAATCAGAGTACGTACGGAATAAAAAAGTAGATCGACTTGAGTTCAAGTAAGGGTTATTGCTTACGGTCGCTGTCTCTCTGTCGGTCAGGTTCTTTAACGACAAGAGAAGAATCTTTCACTCAATGGAAAAAGACAACAAGACCATAAAAATAATCTGTATGAAATTAAACAAATATTTGAGTTTTCGTATTCTCGATCGTAAAAATATCAATCTGAAATTTTTCGCCGGTACTAGAAGCATAAGGTACGTAAATGATGACATCGATGATAAAGATTAAATTCAAAATTAATCGTAATAATAATATTTTACACGTCATAGGATAGAACTAGGAACAATATTAAATTATGAAAAGAAATTGAAATCATATCATGAGGATATTACAAATTGGAAAAAAGCTGCTATGCAAAGGTAAACCAATTCTACACTAGTATTCTATTAATTACATAAACTTCATAAATCAACGTTATCGTTAATACATTTATAGTATTTCTAAAGTAATATTTTTTTCGAAGAGATTAAACGTTCTTTCTTCTTTTATTTATTTATTTATTTCTTTTTTTCTTCTTCTTCTTCTTTTCCTTCCAGATGTAGATTCCATGATTCTTGGGAAAAAAATGTAGGAACCGATAGTAGTCTTCACAATTTGTCACGAGAAATTCAATACGTTAAAAGATGCGCGAGACAACGTAAGATTATGTTGGAAAAATACAAGACCTCATTTAAAAGTACAGAAAAATAATTATTCACTATTCTAATTTGTAATATTAATGAAATAAAAACAATACGAATTTCGTAAATTTCACTTTTAAATGACTTCTTAATACCTGATAATTGATTTTCTTAATACACCAAAATATTTTTAACACAATATACATACCTTAATGAGTACTCAAGATGGATTTTCAAGCTTTGCCATAACACGATATTATCCAACGAGCTATAACATCTCTCTATCGACTCTTACAAGGTAAAGGAAATTACCATGAGAAGGTCGTTACCGTAAGACCTTCCACATTGTCTATTCTTGCTCGTAAAGCAACAGCATTTCCAACGTACCTCAGTGTATATAATGTTCTCTCAACAAACTCTGTTGTTGCATGTTAAATTTACTATACTATCTAATTTCATGTGAATTTTCCTATATCCATCGATTAAAAGTTTTACGCTGTTTAACCAGTCAAAATGTTACAATTAAAAAATTAATTAATCGATAAAACTAATAACTCGTAGATGATTAGAAATGATAATACTTATCTTTTGTAATTTAACGATTCTATTTCTAATCAATCGTTTATCCTCTCTTTTCATAAAATATTTGAAAATTGTCCATTCGAAAAAAAAAAAAAAATATATATATATATATATATATATAAAAATATGTATATATAAATATATATACAAACCCTTACTCGGAATAGTATTTACATGTGACTATTTTTTTCTTTCGTCAAACAAATGAAAATTTCAATTTGATGTCCATATTAATGATTACAGATACAATTACTTCTTTTCTTTTTTTCTTTTTCTTTTTCTTTTTTTTTTTTTTTTTTTTTTTTTTTTAATGAAACATTCAATCCTTCATCGTTAATCATTAATTAGAACAAATTTAATTATCAATTATGAGGTGTAGTACAAAGGTCGACGGGAAAGTAGAAAAGAAAAAACATTAACGCCTAGATAGACGTATAGATAAAAATGATCAATGTTATTAAAATAATTATCAAATAATTCGAGAATATAATGTCTCGTACACGCTCATCCTCTGTTTCGTTTCGTGAAGCGTGTAATACAACACATACGTACGTACAATAAATGTGATGTCAGCTCGTTCGCGAGTATCGATCGCGCGCGCGCAAAAAAAAAAAAAACAAACAGAAAGGAAAAAAAAAGACAAAAAAAAAAGAAATCCATGTTTCTTCATCGTACAATATATTCGTTCGTGATATGATGGTGGTGTGTATTCGTGTGCCTTTTTTCGGTCCTTTGTTTTTCAACTTAGAGAGAGAGAAAAAAAAATAAACGAAAAAAAAAAAAAATTAAAAGAATAGAAACAAAAAAAATAATTAATAAAAACTGTCTGTCTCGTGTGTTAGGGGTGGTGTGCTTAAAACACATACGTAATACAATATTCCCTCGACGCGGGAATATTTTTCTTATTTTCTTCTCGTTATAACTTAAACGTTAAACGAAATATATAATAAAGGAGGGCCGGGGGAAAGGGCGAGGGGAAGAGACACGTAGGAGAAGAAAAAGATCAAGATTTCGAGAAAAAAAAAATAAAATAAAATAAGTTAGAGTTAGATCGATCGATGGGATGAGAATGAAATGAGAAAAAGAGAAAAGTGGAAAAAGAGAATGCATGTATGTATGTATGTATGTATGTATGTATGTATATATGTATGTATGTATGTATGTATATATGTATGTACGTGTATTTTTATTAAAAATAAACTAAAAATAACGAAGACAAAATAAATAGAAAATTCTTAAATAATAAGAGGTCGCCTAATAAGGCGAACTTCGACGAGCTTTTCGCGATGGCGATAAATCGTGAAGCTTGCGATACGTCCTGAGCTACGATGAGAGGATGATACGAAATTATTTCAAGTGAAACAAGAGCCATACGATTCGATACACGTGTATGATACGTATACACAGGTTGTTTCATTTTAAAATCAAATACTTTAAATATTTTCCTTTGGATCGAGTTGATATTAGGAAAAAATAAATAAATAAATAAATAAATAAATAAATAAATAAATAAAAAAGGAATTTGTTCCAAGGCAAAATTTCATTCGAAGGGAAAACGCAAGGGATAACACGAAAATGAATTATTTTCTTTTTTTTTTCATTTTACCTCGTCTCGATGTAAAACGAATAAAACAAAAAACAAAAAAGAAAAACTAGCGATATCCTCAAGTTTATTTCATTATGAGAGCTGATCGTGACGTCGTAACAAAAATATATTCCATCAAAAAGAAATACCGAAGATGTTGGTATCTCAAAAAAAAAAAAAAAAAGATTGATCTTAGAAAAAATACATCTAATCTTTTTATCACGGCATTTTCCCTCTTCGAACGACGATGCAAATTCAAGTCAAGTCACATTTCTTTTGTTCTTTGTTTATTTTTTCCATACCACTCTATACGGTAATAATAATTAAACGTTCGATTTAAAATGAAACATCATGTATATAAGTGTGTATGTGTATGTGTGATTGGGTAAGTGAATGGGAGAATATATAAATAATAAAGAGTGCACGGGGTGATGGTCGGAAGCGCAGGATTTTGTGCGAATTTCAATTGAAAGTTTCGAAGACAATCGGATGGCCTGCGAATTTATATACAATGTCCTTCGAAAACTAAAGTAGCCGATACTCTTGCGATCTTACATATTCATTGGCAAAATCGCAGGTGTATTAACAACTTAACGTGGAAGATGACTCGCTCTCTCGATAAACGCTATCTCGATTACTTTCGTTCTCGACCGATCATAAAAAATGGTCTATTTTCTCATCTATGCAAAAGGAAAAAAGAAAGGAGAAAAGAAAAAGAAAAAAAAAAAAAAAAAAAAAAAAGAAAAAAAAACAGAAAAGAAAAAGTACATATCTTCGATCTTCGTTGAAGAGTACGTCGATAAATGTGAAACATTTGATCTAACTTTAGTCTTTCATTGAAATTTTAACCAAAGAACATTCCCATTCTCCATTTTCCTCATCGATTAACACGAGAAATTTGGTCCAGAATACGAACGAGAAAGTTTCCTCCAACTTGAAAAGTCGATATGACCGAATGTCTACTCGAACTATCCCGATATCTCTGCGAAGAATTTGATCGTACGAGAATGGAAGGAGAAAAAGAGAAAGAGAAAAATAAAGAAAAAGAAAGAGAAAGAAGGAGATAGGAATTCTGATTTCAAGGGAAACGATTCGATAAGGGACGAATATGAAGAAACGGGAGAAGAAAAAGAAAAAGCAGAAGAAGAAGAAGAAGTAAAAAGGATAAAAGGAATAAGAAGAAGGAATCCTCGATGAATTTCGAGTCGTGAACGAAATAACGTCTCGATGAGCGGGTCCCAAGGGTGTCCTTCCCTTTAGGATCGTCGACGTTCCCTCCTTCCAACGTAAAGGTCCTTATTCGAGGTCCTTAAGTGGTCTGACACAAGAACGCCTCTTCTCAATTGGCGACCTTGATGAACTCAGGATTCGGTACGGTACAATTTTCAGTGGCGTATGCCGGATGAACGAAGGTGCTTCCAATGCCGACGTTCTTCCGATCGACCGAACGTACCCTGACGAATAGGAAAGCAGCCACGAGAGAGGCTACGACTACTACAAGTAGCAACATCACTAAACCCCCAACGAAGCCTGGTAAACTCATACAAATCGTTTCAGGATCAGTCGAGGCGCTAGCATTTTGTATTACTACTGTCGTATCATTGTTCGAATTCGTCGTGCCCAGTGCAAAGTTCACGTCACCGGGTGCAACCACTTGGATAATCCTCGACGTGTTCACGTCAGTCATCTCTTGGGCAGCTCGCTTGTACACGTGATTCGTGACTAGAGTGACGGTATGATAGAAACTCTGAAACGTCAAAATATATAATGTCCTAATGTTAATATTGTAATCATTTCAAATCGTAATAAAATAAATCGATTGGATGGATTTGAATCAACGAAATTGTACAATGTAATTAAATTAATTCAATTTAATCGAATGAATATTGCTATTTTATTTATTATCTTAAATAAATAAATAAAGTTAAGAAATAAATCTGAATAATAAATCTTTGACATTTCGATGATATAGATAAGAATAACTTACGTCATCGTCTTCCTCTAAACGATCATGCCTTCGTCTTCGAGCTCCCCTAAGCTCAGCTGGAAAACCTTCGACCGACCTCGGTCGGCCTCCGAGGGTGGCTAGGTTACCCTCGAGCTCCTCCGAGCCAGCCGTACCTTTTCTTTTAACCGTTTGATAAGCTCCAACTGGATGACCGGGTAGAGGAGGTGGAGGGAGATGAATGTTATCATGAGGACTCTGAGGTGAACTACTCGCGGTCGCATCGCCAGGCGTCGAACTTGGCGACGATGACGACGTTTGTGCTTGAGGTGCTGGGACCACGTCTGCATTGGGCTCGCTGATCGATTCGAAAGAAAAAGAAAAAAAAAAAAAAAGAGAGAACGTTGTTATCGACATTAAAATTTATCAATTTCAAATATAAATAGAAAGAAAGATATTAACAAAATGCGATGAATATTTCGTTAAAAAAAAAATTATTAAATAGATAAGTAAATAGAACTTCTCTATTACCTGTAAGCACCAGCTGGTCCACTAGGATGCCTGGGATCAGGATAGGCGGGTGGTACACTGTACTCTGGCAATGGGGGTTGTCCATATTCGGAGGACACGCTTTGGTGAGCCGGAGTGCCGTAATCCTGAGACAACGGAGCAGCAGGTGCTCCATATTCCAAACCCGGATGACCGCACTTCAATTCGGGACAATTATAACGACAAACTTGAATCACACATTGGAAATGTACGTTCATACTGTCAGGGAATTTGAAGGCTTGGAAATAAGCAAAACTAACGACGGAAGCACTTGGCCCGAAATTCTTCACTTTATGGAACCTTTAAATCAAATAAAAACAATAACGTTATCGACGTTTTTATTAGAAATTAAAATAAACAAAAGGGATGACGATATTATAATAATAATAATAATATTCTACCTGGACATGATCTTTGGCCTGACGACGCAGCCGTACTGATCGACCAACTGAATCGGTGCTCTCTTGCCGTCATGGGCAACACAGTTTCTGACCAGCATATCGAATTTATTTTCTACGTCCTTGATAGCAAGTACCATGGTCATGGTCTGTCCGATTTTAACGATACCGGAAACCTCGCTAGCCCATGGTCCTTTGCCAACTTGTATTTGCATCCAACATTGTAGATTATCTCCAAGGAAGTTAGCTGTTACAGCGTGCAACATGTCTACTTGGAACGGCCTAAAATTAACTTGCTTCTCATAGTAATCGTACCACGTGCAACGAAGTTTCCTGGCCTGATCCCAAACTTCTTGAACGTAACGATCGTATTGCACGATGATCGTATTCTCAACGTAACTACCCGATGGCGTAGGTGCTCCATAAGCGGCTACGTTGTGATTGGCTGACGATGTCATGCCGCATGAATTCAAAAAAATCTCAAAAGTTGCGCTTAAATGGCCGGTGCCTGGTTTGAGATGAACGCAATGGGGGTCCGAATAAAAGCCCTTACTGAATATCATCCCGTAAAAGGGCCGATCAAATTCGATGTTAACACGCATATGCGTCTTCTCGCACTGCACCTGTAGATGTTTTATCTGCGGTGTATCAGGCGAAGCCAAAGGCCAATTCTCTTCGGCTCCATGCGATGTGGGTGGTCCATATTGTGCAGGTGGACCATAAACCGATCTGTGCTCCAATGGCAACGCACTACTGTCGACGAGCGGTGCCTCACATTTTACATCCTGGAAATTTAATACGTGCATTTTTATTTACGATATTTCCTACATATACATATGTATTTTTAATATTTAATAAATATATTTACTTTCTTCTATAACTGAATATATGTATATAACTAAATATATACATAATAAATGAAACATTGTTTGTAAAAACTGAATGAAATATGGTTAAGAAATTAATTTGGATATATGTTTTTTTCATATCTGTTACAAACATAACATCCTAATATAATAAAATTTATTCGAAATTTTATAGAACCTACATATAATTCTATATAAATTTTGATAAAGAAGATTCCATAGTACCGCTAACTTCCATGCATAGCCATTCTGTCAAATGCCCTAAACCTGCACGGCACGTCCTAAAAATCCGCTTGACGCATTTCGAAATATACATGGATGTTATAACGGCAAGTAAGCCGGTCGAGTCAATAAAAATTTAGGTAAGACGCGTTAAGGACTCCTCTTTTGTAGAGGAATGATCGCGTGGAAATGGACAATACGGAGTAGGAATTGACATTAAGAATTCAACGAACGTCATCGGCCATTGCAACCTTTCGCGGAATGTCAATCGAACGTTGCGTGTCACTCGGTGTTCGAGATTCTTTGGAATTCTCTTCTGTCGACCTTGACGACGTATATCACGCGAATTTATACCATCTAAACATTTTTTTATAAATTGAATCGTATTTCTTTTCAATCAATTCCCTTAATCGATACTCATTCAAAATAATGATAAATCAGATAAATAGCAAATAAATATCATAAAAAAAAAAAAAAAAAAAAAAAAAAAAAACTCAAAATAAATCTAAAACTATAGCATTTGAATCATTAGAGTTTAATCTTTGTTTTGTTGATGCATTTCTCATAATTCCGAATAAAAAGAAAGACGATCTCCTTGTAAAGTAACGAGATCGACGAGATTTACCTCGAGTTCATTAAACGCGATACCGTAGCTTTCATTGGCAGTGGTAAAGGCACGTTTTGTCAGTCACTATCTAGCGGAGTGAGTCACTCTAATGTGGAGCACGACTGTAACTGTTTGCTAGTGCTCTTACCCTTAGATAGAAAAGGCCGCTTTTCTAGACACGTACTTTCCAGCCGAGGTAGTAGCTCGTCCGCACGCGCCCGACGATTAGACTGACTCTTTACAAAGTTTCCAAAGAAAAACGAGTTCGACTCGTTCCCGTCGCTTTCAGAAAAGAAAATACCTATAGACGTATAGGTATATACACACATATATACATACATACATACATACATACATATATATGTATATATACACACAAGTCAGTACGTTTCAATTCACGTGGATTTAGGACTCGAACTCGAAGAAGAATGCCGGCAGCCAACCACGACCAACGCCCCGAAGGCGACTTCGCATTCTAGGTTAACGCGATTGATATATGCGCGAGGTAGAATCATGAACTTGTCCAAATCGATGATCGATTAAGGTCATTAACCATTTGCATTAACCGTGAAATAATAAAAGAAAGCGATTCTTTGGAAATATCAAATCATTCAAGTTCTTTCGTTTATATTATTTGAACCGGTCTGGTTAGAATGTTACCACTGTAATACTAGTACTCATACACATGATACTGACTTATGTTATGCATATCAATCTTTTTATTTTGAATAAAATTTGTAATACAAATATCGTTATTAATAAGACATTATGTGTTATCCATTGATTTAAAATCCAGAGATTATTTGAATAGGAATATTTTTAAATACTTTACAAAGAAAGTAATAATGTTCGAAAGGAAAATTGAAAATAAATATAAAAAGTGGCTGATATTATTTAGCGCGAAAATATATTAAATATTTTATCGAACGATTTGAATGTTCAAATTTATCAGAAATTCGAAAGCTCGACAATGTCGATTCAAATCTTATCGTAAATATGATATAATGAATGCAAGCGTAACTCGATATTTTTATTGTAAGAAATAAAAGGAACGAGAAGAAAACGCGTTCGGGGATAACTGTATACGGGACTGACTGGTCTTACGGATAAAGCCAAGTTTACATAAGGGTTTTGAAATTGATTGCACCTACGCGAACAGACTCAATGATTTATATATATATATATATATATATATATATATATATATATATATATATATATATTAATATTTTTATATATAATATATATATATATTTTTTTTTAATAGAATGAAAAATTTTGTGTACGAAAGTCAATGGAGACGCTTCTATCGAAATTAGAATTCCTCAACTATAATACCATCTAAATAATAATTTATTGTATAAAATAAACATTATTAATCCATATCTATTATCATGAATTTCTCGTCATATTATAATAATATCACATTGATATACGTATACCGTAATAACCAGCTAACTTTTTTCAAATTTTCAAAGCAATTAATTAAAATGAATATAATTACAATAAAATGTATTCGAACTAAGGAAAATGTGAAATAATACTTTTAAGAGATATTAAAATACAAAATTTTATGATCTTATCGTTAAATAAAGAAAAGAAAAAAAAAATGATCTGCGCTAATCTCGAAATAAAAAATAATTAAAAAATATGTTAATATTTTGAATAGAATTTTTGGGAACCTTAATCAACAGAAGAAAAACTGGAGCGAAAAGTCATAAACTCGAAAGAATTATAGACATGTATAGAATAAGAGAGGAAGAGAGAGAAAGAGAGAGAGAGAAAGAGAGAAAGAAAGAATAAAAAAAAAGAGATCAGCCAAGATGTGCCGTCACAGGCGGGCGACAGAGGAGGCCGATTCACGTTGAACAGGAAATACGCGGTTCGCGCCTTGATCGGCAGCAGGTCGGCCGTACGCATACCTGCGAATCGTCTTGTTCTACTTGCACCTGCAATCGATCCGCTTATAAAGACTTTCTCAGTAGAAATTTACAAACGAATTGCAATCGAACTTTTTGAAATCGGAAGTCATTAAAAAGTACCTTAACATTAATTTCAAATTTATTTAAAATCTTTCCGATCATCGTAAGAATGTTTAATAACGTTTACAATCAATTTAATCCAAGTATCCAGATAACCAGACATATGATCTTAATCGTTTAAAAAAAGGAAAAAAAAAACAAACAAAAAAAAAACAAAAAAGAAAAATGACAATTCGTAAATCATCCGTAAATTTATATTCGTAGAAAATTAACGTGAAAAATATCTTAAATGAAAATTATCTTAAATGCACTTTACATTGAAATTTTAATTGCACATTGCATTTTATACAATTGTAATAAATATTAAATGATATTCTTTTTATATTTCTATATTTATAAGGGAGAAAGAAAAGGAAAAAAAAAAAAAAAAGAAAAGAAAAGATTACAAGAGTAATCACGTGAATGTACGTGGCAAACTTTACGAAACCATTAATCTGATTGTTATTAAGAATAACTATGCATTGATTAATAATTACTATAAAATACTATAATCGTAAAAATGGAAACAATTTAATTTACTTCGAGTATTTCGTATTAGATAGAAGACATTTTAACGAACGAAATCGATAATATTCGTATCGAACGATCAATCGGATAAAATAATGAAAGAGAAAAATTGCAAAAATAAACGGTAAAAGTTTCGAAGGAAGTACCCACGCTGGTAACCAAACGACGATTTCACTTTTCCATTGTCATCCGAGGATGACCTGAACGGCCATATTATTCCTACACCGGACACACTTTCACTGAATCGCACGTACGAAACGGGCTCGTTCCTAATTATCGCGAACGTCACAAGTTTAGTTACTACCGTCTAGTTACTTCTACTTTTTAAACAGCCCATTAAGAGATAGCACGACTGGAATATATTAGTTCAAGTATTTCCTTCTTGTGAAAGAAAAAAGAAACAAGAAAAAAAAAACAAAAAAAAAAAAAAAAAAGGAAAAAGAAAAAACCTGTTGAAAGAGACAAGCGATCATAAAAATGATCTTTCATTTCTTTTTTCTTCTTTCTTTTTTTTTCTTCTTCTTCTTCTTCTTCTTCTTTGCTTTATCTTAGAAAACGATTAACGAACGTGTTGGCTCATTATCTTTAGGAAATAATAAAATAAATGATATTATATACTTAGAGAAAAGAAAAAAAAAAAACAAATTGTCATACAAGAACTGTCTCGCCTTGATTATGGTATCGAAAAAGTAGGCCAAGTCAGTTGTTACGAGTTGAGCTAGATGCGTATCGCCGCACGCACGTGTCTTGACGATGGTATGACCATTGTATACCACTGTTATCTCGTCGTTTACGGAAAAATTCAATGAAAAAAAAAAAAAAAGAAGAAAGAAAATATTTTTGAAAATTGATCTCAATGAAAATTCATGATCCTTCGGATTCGATAAGTATCGTTTGTTCGTATAAAATAATATTCAAAAAAGATTTCATCGATTGTCAGCATAAAACGTGCATGCAAATTTAATCAAATAATTCTATTCCTGAAATATTAAAGCTCACCGTATCATTTAAGAACTTATAAAAGGGTGACCATTTAATACGATTTGTACCACCGAAAAGCTGACGAGAAAGTTGGCTTTTAAATCGAAACTCCTCAGGACAGTTTGACGCCGCTCTAATGTCATGAACGCGAGAAGCTAAAGGCGATCTAATTAAAAGGAAACGATCAGAGGAATCCTGCACAAAGAACGTACCGTGAGAACCGGGCCGAGAGAGTTAACTGGTGTTGGATACGAGCGTTCTTTTGAGGATAGAACTCTTCGCTTAGGATTTTAATTAAAAGAGAGCATTGCCATGCCCCAGCGGGCCAGACGCGCTACGCGAAACGAGCTTGCATTAAGGACGCGTGAAACGTTTTTCCGGGAACGAGAAATAGGGAAAAGAAATCGTTCGTAAAGGAAATTTTCTCTAGCAACGTATCTTCGTAAAAATAATCGCAACTAATCGTAAGAGAAACACGTAAATGCGAGTACAATTGTTTGAATGAAAAGAAAAAAAGAAAGAAGAAAAAAAAAAGAAAAGAAAAGAAAGATAAAAAAAAAAGGAAAAGAAAAACAATTAATCTAATCGAACTCTAATATCTCGAAGAAAATAAAAACGAATGTAAAATTAATAATACGATTAATTGAACAATTTTGAGATCTTAATATTTCTAGTAATTTCGAATTACTAGATTGAGAATCAATACAAATAAATTCAATGACGAAAATTAAGGAGATATTTTTTGTTTAACCTATATATACATATTTGTAATTTATTTAAATAATTCCTTACGAGAAATTTATAAAAGTGTAAAATATTAATAACGTCTTTCGTATTTTACAAAATGATAATATTTATCGATCTAAATGTATTATCGATTAATCTCGAATTACAAGATGATCACGAACGTAGCTCTACACCTAAACGATTTATCCATTGAGAAAGCATCTCTTTGTGGTCGTCCGCAAGATTGTACGTTTTGCATAACCACGAGAAATATCTTTTTCCTATCTATTATGATTTATCAATCGCGGTTTCGTCCATTGCCATTATACAATTCTACATTACGATATGAATGACATCGTATTTAAAATGAAATCGTCATGATTTTAATCTATTTATATCTATTACTTCGATATCTCTCCTTGACGATCATTTTGACGAGCTCCGTTTGTGCTTACGTATGTGATGTAAATAAAGCAATATAACTACGTTAGAATGAAAAAGATAGAAATAAAGGAAAAAAAAAGAAAAAAAAAAAACAAAAAAAGAAGTACTTCGTGGAAAATATCCTAGAAAGTGCAGGGAGATCAAGAGAATAATAGATGAATCTGCTGACATTTGGGAACTGGAAGTAAGCTATTCCCACGATAAATTAGTGCCGTGAGCATTTCCATCCTTTCGATAAAGAGAGAATGAGAGAGAGAGAGAGAGAGAGAGAGAGAGAGAAAGGGAGAAGGAGAGAGAAAAAGAGAAATAAAGAAACAAAAAGAAAATTGCCGTTTCGCGGAAGTTACTAATGACGACGCCTTCTAAGATTTTTCTCATTTTTCCTCTTGGCCTCTGGACGAAGAGGGTTCTCTACCTGATGAAAACGTTCCCTTTGTTTAGTTCAGAAAAAAAAAGATCACAAAAAAAAAACAAAAGAAAACAAAAAAGGGATCTATCGATCGAAAATGGGAATTCGACTTTTTGAAATTTTTAGATAATTAAACTACGAAATTGATGAGATTTTCATCAACTGAACGATATTGTAATTGTAACCATGATTACAACATTATTATTCATTACATCTGCATAGACTTTTTTTTTTTTTTTTTTAAATTTATAGGACAAAAGTTGACAAAAAAATTCGATATATACGACAGATTGCAAAGAAACGTTCGCGAGAGTTAATATAATGCAAATTACTCATTATTTTCGTAACAAGAAGAAAACAATTAACGTTGTTTCGTAACGTTAAAGAAAAAAAAAAAAAAAAAGAAGAAGAAGAAAGTATAACGATACTTATTTTCGCCTGCTCTCGACTCACAAACACTTTAAGCGTGCAATCACATAATGACGAATATATTTCGAAATTCTTTTTGTTTCTTTTTTATCTAAGATCAAAGCCATATTTAAAAAGAAAATGAAGGAAAAAGAAAAGATTGAGTAAAAAAAAGAGAGTGACAGAGAGAGAGAAAGAGAGAGAGAGAAAGAGAGAGAGAGAAAGAGAGAGAGAGAAAGAGAGAGAAGGGGGAAGAGGAAAAAAGAAGGAACGTCATTTAAAACTGTCCATATACATAAACATATATATATATATATATATATATATATATATATATATATACATAAAATAAGGAGAGAAAGAAGAACGGAAATAGAAGGAGGAGAAGAGGAAAAGGAGGGCCAGTTAGAAAAGGACAAGAGAGGTTTCCCGAGAAAGAAAGCTGCTACCAATGGGAAGAAAGAAGTTGATCCTCTGGTGCAAGTCGACTAGAATCGTCCACGCTCCGCTACGTATTGCTCCGCTACGCATCGCGTCTCAAGCCACCACTCTTCATACAGTGAGAGAAAGAAATAAAGAGAGAAAGAAAGAGAGAGAGAGAGAGAGAGAGAGAGAGAACACTGTCTAGAGAGTATAGTCGAAAGAGGGCAATGCGTCCGACGCGCTGACCTACTATCTCCGCTTCGCCGCGCACCGCATCGCTTCTTCCTTCAACAGTATTTTCTTTCCTTTCCTCATTCATGCACCGATCGCGTATCCGATCAGAGTTCCTCATTGTATACCTTATTCGGATTCGTGCGACATAGCCCACCCTTAAGTTATAACTTCTAAATAAACATATACACGCGATCTCATTTCTAAAATAATTTTATTTAAAAAAAGAAAATTGTCTATGTACATAAATAAATAAATATATATATATATATTTATTTATTTATTTATTATATTAATAAATTAGAAATAATTATTATATTAATGTATATATTAAATTCAAATGGATACGATCGTAAAGTTTATTTTTTTAAACGATCTTCAAACATTCACATAAACGAAGAATTATCGATTATTCATTAATGTACAATAATTCATGAATATTAAATGTAAGTATGATATGATATATAAAACGAAAAAAAAAAAAAGAGAAAAAAAAGAAGAAAAAGGAAAAAAGAAGAAGAAGATAAGGAATACAATATAAAAAATAAATGGGTCAAAAAGGATCGAGTCGAAATTGAAAAGAACCGAAACACGTACGAATGGATTGGTTTGATTGATTCGGACGTTTATCACGAATTGCTCGCCGTCAAAAGAACGAAGCTCGTAAATTCATTCGAATGCACACACGCATGTTGTTTCTCTATAGGTAGTAGGTATATAGGTACATATGTAGCACATAAGAGGGCCCGCGGCGATATAAGGGATTCATCTCGAGTGCTCTCGACTCTTTCTCGCGTCGATTCCAGAGCAACAGCACGTGGCGTGTCACAGATAGCGGGTCTCTCTCTCTCTCTCTCTCTCTCTCTCTCTCTCTCTCTTACTTTTTCTCCCATCAATGAGTGACATTAAATTTTCCGGTTTTCCAAGAAAAAATTATACACAATACGTACGATTAACCGATATTATTAACCGAGACAAACATTGCAATTCAATTTCTACTTACGATTAAATTCATATGGTTATGTTATTTTGAGTACGCATGATTAAAAAAAAAAAGAAAAAAAAAAAATATATATATATATATATATAACAACACAGATTTGTAACATATTCTTTTACTTATTTATAATTATTCGGAGCGCAGTGATTCGTTAAAAACAAAAAAAAAAAAACAAAAAAAAAAAAAAGAAAGAAAAAGAAGAAATGTTTTCGACAAACGGCAGACATGTGTTAAATTTTTGACATAGAAGGCAAAAATAAAATGAAAAAGAAGGAGCAAAATAAAATAGAAAAAAAAAAAAAAAAAACCAAGAAAAGAAAAGAAAAATCTTTATCAACGCGACCTTAACGCAATAGCCTCATCTTGTTATCTCGATACGGTCTCGCTTTCGCGAAATTTCATTGGATATTAAACGCGATACGAGGTCGATAAACGCGCACGTACAATATCGCGAGAGAGAGCGTGAAATAATCCGGTAGTCATAGGAGAAGCTCATAAAATAGATTCACCGGATTCACGCGGAGCCAACGTAGCGGTCGTCGCGTTAACGACCGGTCCTGTCACTCGAAAGGAGAAGAGCACACAGCTCGTTGCTAACAGCTACTAAACGTATATGACAACGATGACGAAGGCGACATTCGTTGAAAGAAATATACAAATATAGAAATAAAGAAGTAAAGTATTAAAGGAAAAAAAAAAAAAAAGAAAGAAAGAAAGAAAGAAGGAAGAAGAAAAAATTGATAACGTCCTAGTGAGAAAATAAAATAAAAGAGATACGCGGTAAGATTGGCTTATCTTTGGTTATCAAGAGCAACATGTGCAACCAAGACCATTAAGCGTAACCGTTTTATCTAGAATTAACGAATTAACGGTAAACAACTACTTCTTTTATAATTTCATTTCTCATAACTAACTGCCTTCTTTTTCCATTATTTTTTATTTATTTTTTTCTTTTTATTATTATTATTATTATTATTATTATTATTATTATTATTATTATTCAAATACTTTTAGCCATGATCGATCACAAATCATCTGTTCAAAATCTCTTTTCACACGTACTAAAGTATTATTTATAATTGATATAAGAACAAATTGTATCGATAATATGTAAGTTATGACTTGTTAATATGCGATTAAAAGAATCCCAAGGAAAAGATCTCTCGGAAAAAACAAAACTTTCACAAAGATAAATATAAATTTATTATAATTATGTCACGATCATTATTTCTTAAAAATCTTCAAGTATCTCGACGACTTTTATGTATATCAAACTTTTTCTTCCCCGCTAAAGTACAAATCGTGACGAACATCATATTTTGTCAAACGATCTATCGATGAACGAAGATGATCGATAAACGATGAAGAGGAAAGAAAAGAAATAGGGAGAACAAAAAAAAAAGAAAAATACAGAAAAAAAAAGAAAGAAAGAAGAAGAAGAAGAAGAAGAAGAAGAAGAAGAAAAGAATAAAAAGGATAAAGGATTTTTTATATCTACTCACAGTTAACAATAGTAAGGGCAGCAATAAGATAAAGGCCGTCTTTCGTATACTCCGCCACGTCCTCTCCATCGTGTGTACGTTTTTTTTCTGTAATTAGAAAAGAAAACAAGAAAAAAAAATAATCAAGTTCAAAGGATCCATAATATGTAACGTCGTTCGCGTTATCCTTTCTCCTTTTAAATCGCACAATAAGTGTCATCGCTGATAAAAAGAAAGGAAAGGAATTAAACATGCATATGAAATATGAAAAAGAAAAAAAGAAGAAGAAGAAGAAGAAAAAGAAAAGGGGCAGGAGGTAGAGAAGGACGAGGAGGAGGAGGAGGAAGAGGAGGAGGAAGAAAAGGAAGAAAAAGAATGCATTTGCTGACAATCGTCGCCAGCCGGAAGCACAAGTAGCACGTCTACCTGTCCGATCCTCTCCGAAGGATGTTACGCAACGCGCATCTGACCCACTTCCTTCGAAATCGTTGCTCTTAATTAAGAAGGATGAGAAAACGTTTAAACGTTCAAGAACTTTTCCACAGTCTGCGTTTTCGTAACACGAAGGACTGTTAAATACTTCCGCAAACGATGTAATTCATATTCCTAAACATTAATGGCGATTACATAGTGAATGAAAAGGAAGAAAACAAAAATAAAAAGAAAAATCTTTCCGAACTCATTCTCAGTAAAAATAGATCTCTCCGATTCCATTATCTATTTCCTCGTTAATCTCGAGAAATGAGAATTATCGTTGAAAAGTTAAGAAACAAAAAAATAAATAAATAAATAAATCACGAAGAAATCGACAGAAAAATACAATACTTTTTTACGGAAAGGAAAAAAAAAAATTAAGAAAAAACGTAAAAAGAAAAGAGAAAAATTGTACAGACGATCTTCGTCGTCTTCTTCGTAAAGAGCTTATCTACTCTGTCTGTACAAAAAAGAAAAAAAAAAAAACAAAACAAAAGAAATAAAAAAAAATTTCGTCAATCGCGAAACGCTCGAAGATTCACACCTGACTCCGAGTCCTGCGATAATCCTTCTTGTTTTTCTCCGTTGATCCGTTTTTATTCTTTTGTTCCTCTCCTCACGACCCTCTCCTCACGACCCTCTCTCTCTCTCTCTTTCTCTCTCTCTCTCTCTCTCTCTCTCTCTCTCTCTCTCTCTCTTTTTAATCGATGACGAGTCACACCTGCCGCACGAAACGAAGCGTTGTTAACAGTTGGTCCTCATTAGGCCACTCTTTTCAACGACAATAACGACGAAGAAAAGTTGCGCGCGCGCGAACAAGAATGGACGGGCCCAGAGGTGGCTGTCCTGGCCGACGGGGACCGACTGAAGGTGCGAGCCACGCTCGTCTCGGCCACGAGCCACGTCCCAGTGACCTACTGACGATCTCGATCGTTCCTACTGTGCCACCTTTCATTCCCACCATTACTAATACGTTACTACCACTACTACTATAGGACTCATCATGATCATGCTACCTCGAGTATCTGCGTCAGAGCAAGGCACAAACAGGCCCATCGTCGTTGTCGTCTCTATCCCCACTTTTCTTATCTTTCTACCCCACCCACCCACACACCCTCTTCTCCTCCTCCTCGCTCACTCCTTCTACTTCCCCATAGCGGACTTAGCTCTTTCTTTCTTCATCATCATCATCATCATCTTCTTCTTCTGCTGCTTCTTCCTTTTCTTCTTCTTCTCCTTCCTTATCTTTCTTTTTTTTTTCTCTTTTTCTTTTTCTATCTCAACAAATATGTTATAAATGAAATGGAATTCGTATTATAGAACGAAGAACTTCTCTCATATTTGCGATGGATAATTTTTATCCTTATTTCTTCTTTTTCTTTTTTTTTTTTTGTCCCATTAAAAGGCATTTGCTTTCACCGAAACATCGTAAAACTCTAATAAGGAGAAAGTGAGAGAGGAGGAGGGATATGGGGGGGGGGAAGATCGACAATAAAGAAAATCTTTATTGTTGAATAATAAATTGTTCATGTATCCTTTTTGATACTTCCTTCCTCTTAATATCATTGACGACAATCGATTTATGACAATATATAATAATTCCAAAATGCGAAGATTTTCATTTCGTTAAATAATCAATTAATGACATTAAAGAATTCCTGATCGTTATCAAATTGTTTGGATATCATTTATCGTCGTTTGTTAATTGTGATATTTATGAAGATCATTCGGGTATAAGATTTTTAAAATTTGAGAAGACGAACGAAAAAAGAAATGTTGGATTACTTAACAAAAAAAAAAAAAAGAAAAGAAATACACACGAACAAACACGCGCGCAATCAAGTCTATTTTGTAATTAGAAGTAAGGGTAGAAGCGATATTATTTTTTTTTTGGTCTTTTTGTGTCCTTGCAAAAGAACGCGGATAAATGTCGTAAGCAATTAATCCGGCATGAGCTACCGTGACGATCATGCTCCCGTGACGAACTACTAACTATATCTACCTAACTTCCATTTTATTCTGTACCGATTCGAGTTTCATCTCGAAGACTTTCCAGGAGGATTAACAGAAGACATTCTACGAGCTTCTTAAAGTATAACACTGGAGATTACATAGCTAGACGATACTTCCATTTTCAATCGAATTACTTTTCTATCTTGTTATTAGTACCAGTAATAGACGTTCTCTCTGACGTTAGATCGAATTTTAAAACCTTTTTAAAGAGAACACAGAACTTCGAAATTTTCAATAAGAGATACAGATTTACGTAGCTTCACATTTTGTCTGTCTTTTCTTTTCTTTATCTTTTTTAATTTTTAATCAATTTAATCAACAAAAATCAATTATGCTGTAAAATAATAAAAAAGAAAAAAAAAAAAAATAACAAGATACAATAAATTCAAAAATATATAAATTAAGTTTTGTATACTTTTTCTGTATTTTTCAGATTGTAAAAAAGTTCGTAGGCCTGTAGTTTGACAATTTGAAAAAAGAAATTTTAAATTGGTTTAAAAAAAAAAGAAAAAAAAAAAAACGTCGTGAAGAAATAATTAATCGTTGAAATGACATAGGAACTTTCGGCTCATCCTATATATAAGCGATATACGAAATACTTGTTGTCTATTTTGTCGTATTAGAAATAAGAAAACAAGAAAAAATTTCGAAAAAATCAATCTAATCTTTTCGTTTTCTCTCTTTCGTAAAATTCTACACATACGTATGTATCTCGCATATTGTAAATGGAACTTGCATAATCACACAAGACCGATAAGAATGAGATACGAACGAGTCAACGGGCAACGCACTGACCTAGATTTCTCACCCGCATGATGTTAACTCGTCCATCCGGAAGTGTCTTATAGTAGTCCGTATACCTACAAGGATAACAACCATAGCTCGATAATACGTGAAAGTGCGAGTGAAGTAAGTTTCACCGATCTCCTACTGTATATTTCCTCAAAGTACTTTTTCATAATGTTTTAAAAAATATAACAAAATGATACATAACAAGATCATTGATAAATTATTAAATTATCGAATGATATTCTCTCTCTAATATATTTGATTATATCGAGAAAATAAAGTTAAAATTACCTTCTCGTATAATAATTATAATAATAATAATAATAATAATAATAATAATAATAATAATAATAGTAATCAATCATTCAAACAGTTTTCTAATTAACTAACTTAGATTAATTAATCATCCAAAAATTCCTTTCAAAATAATGATTCGACAAAAAAAAAAAGGAACAAATCTACCTGGACTTCAGTAACACGTTTGAATCATTCTCTCGTTCTTCGACTTTTCTCATTCGAGATTATTTCTCTTTCTCTCTCTCTCTCTCTCTCTCTCTCTCTCTCTTTCTCTTTCGATTTCCTTTCCCTCTCACCTTTTACACCTGCTCGGCGTCAGTTGGTTAACGTTCAGAGTTCTAATACAAAAGTATCTTATGTGCCGAAAACTCTGCCCCTAATAGTAAAACCTTTTCTACATCCTCACAAAATTAAATCTACAGAGAATCGTCAAGGAGCAACATCAGAGCTAGAGAAAACATTTGGAAATAATTTTCAACCGAGTCACCGTGAAACAACAATTTTCTTTTTCACGAAAACGACACAGTCTTCGTCTTCGTCGTCGTCGTTGTCGTCGTCTTTGTCTTTATCGTTCTTCTTGTTGCTGTTGTTATTGTCCATTCACAAAGAATGATAAAAAAGGGACTAAACTTTTGACTATTCGAGTAGTTACTAACTACTCGAAATAGTTAATAAACAAAAAGAAAAAGAAAAAAACAATGTTTTAAATCAATCTTATTTACATTCGAGGATTGCATTATTTAACATAAATAATAAATTTATTTCAATATAATAATTGGAGTTCCACTTGAAATATATTATAATCAAACTCATTGCAATCGATAAGAAAAAAAAAAAATTGAATAAGTAAATGATTATGGGCCTTCAATAGAAATATACAATTCTTATTTGAATAAATTTTACATTGAAAAGTTAACGATTATTGAATTATCGAAATGTTTCCAATTATATGAAGCATCCTTATATATATATCCATGTAATATTGATCCATTGATAAAGGCAACTAAATAGATGGTATCAATTATAATCTTCTACTAAAACCTCTTTGGCTTCAAAAGGAGCAATCATAGCTTTACTATTAGATAGAAAACGTTTATACTCAAATAATTCGATAGGTAAATGGTGATCTAAAATTGGAGATGATATATATATATATATATATATATATATATATATACGATCTAATCGATATTCGATGTAAAATAACGTGTCGATTGGAACAGAGTTTAGAGGGCCGTTTAGATCGAAGAGAAAGGGTTATTCGTGTTCACTTGAAACAAGTGGCTGAGAGCTAACGCGATGTGATCTGAAAAAGACACGGTAGAAAAGCGGGCTGTTGGGAGAAAGCGGCCCCAAAAATAAAATCTCTGTAGCTTGGCAACGCACTGAAAATAGATAACATAAACGGCCTGTTAGCCTTCATTCTAGAATTTTATTCTCAAGACCCAAATATGGAAAGGAACGCGATTTAGAATGGAGGCACGTCAATCGAAAGAGAGAATAAAAGTATGAGAAAATTTAAGAATACTTTTCTTAAGTTTCTAATTTCGATACTTTAAAGAATTTTTTTATCAATCGATACGAAACAACGGTGCAACGGAAAAGAAAGTTTATTAAAAATATCTAAAACATAAATACTTGACATTAAAATAATATATAATTTCATACATATATATATATATATATCCATCTGTAGGAATGTTAATCTAATCATAAAATTATAATACGAATTTCATAGAAAAATACTAAAAATTTGAATTTCGTATTCAAAGTTTCGCGTTAAAAAAAAAAAAAACAAAAAAAACAAAAAGAAAAAGAAAAAAAAACCCGAGAGATTTGAAAAACTCTGAAATTAGATCCTCGGTAACACGGTACGGTTTTTACGAATCGTGGATTCATATATTCCCCATGAAAATCCAATTAAAACTTTTCATTCGTTCGTATAAACAAGTGTCTCTTTTTTTGGTCGAATATGTTTCACGTGCTTCACATACGACTCCGTTGTAAGAAACAGTATGGGAAAACACGTATATAATCAGTAGCTGTAACAACAATATCTCACGTCCTAAATAAACAGCGACGAAAAAGAAAAAAAGAAAAAAGAAATGAGAGAAAATAAAAACAGAAAAAGAAAACGAAGGAGGTGTTTTCCGCTGTAACATTAAACGATCGTTTCTCTGTTGATATCAAAACGACGCGACAATCATCCTTCTCGACAAAATTACAGTATGTATATGTGCAACTAGACACGTAGATTACTCTTCTATCGTTAAAGGCCGAAGAATCATGCAATTATCTTACTAACGGTGAATAAACCAATCGAACGTTCTATTTAACACGTACATTTACAAATAAAATTCTATATATCTATAATTAGTTACATATCTAAAGTTCTCTCTTTCTCTCTCTCTCTCTCTCTCTCTCTCTCTCTCTCTCTCTTTTTCTATATATATATAT